GAAGCCAGGTTGCTTTCCTCCTCAGCCCTCTTCCTCTTCTGGACCATTTTTGCTATAGGCCCAGGAAACATTTTCTTGAGCCAAGCTGCCTGGGTCCAAATCACAGCTCTGCTGCTATCATCTCCATGCTTCCCTTCCCTCATCTAGATGGAAACACAGTGGTGCCTACTTCCAGGTCTATCTGGGGACTGAGGGGGCCGTTTTGTGCCCAGCCTTCACGGCAGGCTGGCTCTCAGGGGCTGCAGCATACACCAGCTGTTGGTGTGGGCACACTTTTCTCGTAGTCAATGTTTTTCTCCAGAGAAAACAGGTCATTTCATTGCTTCTACGAAAGGCAACTGTGGGTTTCTGGGGATTTCTTGTCTATGACTGTGAATGTTCCTAAGAAGAAGGAGCTTTCCCAGGCTCTCCCCCAGGAGGTTTTTGGTTTTGCTTTGTTTTTTTGTTTTGTTTTGTTTTTTGTTTTGTTTTGTTTTGTTTTGTTTTTGAGACAGGGTTTCTCTGTGTAGCCCAGGCTGTCCTGGAACTCATGAGATGCCCCTGCCTCTGCCTCCCAAGTACCGGGGTAAAGCACTTGGCTGACTGGCTCCCCATGAGGCTTTGAAGGCAGTAGTCTATTCCAGTCTTGCTGGTGAGTCTAAGAATCCCTTAGCAGAGAGGCAGAGCCCCATGGCCTGCTGCCATGGGCACCCCTAAAATGCCTGCCAGCTGTGGTGAATAGGGAAGGGCGTAGTGCTGACTACAGTCACAGACCCAGCACTGTCTATCAGACTAGAGTCAGAATTCAGACTCTCTTCCTCACTGGTTGTGTCTTTCTTACCACACATCTATGAGCCTCCCTTGCCCAGTGTTCTCACCCATAACCTCAAGTAACAATGGTGCTTCCTTTGGTGAGGAAATGAGATCACATGTGGTCAACAGGCTGGATGGTGGTAATACTCTAACGAAGAAACTTTGTTGCCAGACACTACAGTGCTAGACAGGGCCCCTTGGGTAAGAGAGCAAGCTGACCTGCCTCTCTGCAGATGGCCTCTGGGGCCCGTATTTTACTGTGTGCTCGTCACTAGGGAGTGAGCATGGTTCTGTGATGTTGTTCACTGCGTGTCACAGACCTCGGAACTCTACCACTCCATGAGTACTGTCAGAGACTTCCAGAACGTCTCAGAGGAGACTTGCTGCTTGGTTAGGGCAGGGTAGTGTTTTCCTGTCTGGGCAACAATGAGCTCTGTAAGTGGCTTGTGGAGAGGATGTTAGTGTGACTGTGGCCCTGCACCATGCTGCTGTGATTGGTGTCTGTCCTAGCCTCAGAACAGAGGCTATAAGGTCCAGGCTGCTGGCCTTTTATCTGCACAGCTCAGCCTAGCTCCTGATACGGTAAAGATTTAGTGAATACATGTTTTCATCTACCCAACTCCAAGATCATTCCCGGCTGCCATGCTGGATGCTCCTGCTGGCACAGGTGGTCCATGGTGATGAGGAGATCCTCTCTGTCCTCCCTCACAAGCTTATGTAAAAGTATGAATAGGTGTGGAAACAAATCAACATGAGCCAGAGTTTAAAACTGTGACCTGACGGATGGGGAGTGGAAAGGGGGCAGTAGTGTAAGAAGTACTAAGGGAAGGCCTCTCAGGAGAGCTAGCACTTGAGCTGAGATCTAAATGGCAAGGACAAGAAAAGCACATAGAGACCGAGGAGTGAGCATGTCTGCCAGATAGAATGTGGACTGGCTGGTTTTATGTCAACTTGATACAAGCTAGAGTCATCAGAGACGAAGGAGCCTCAGTTGAGGAAATACCTCCATAAGATCAGCTGTAAGGCATTTTCTTAAATAGTCATCAGTGGGGGAGGGTCCAGCCCACTGTGGATGGTGCCATCCCTGGGCTGGTGGGCCTGGCTTCTATAAGAAAGCGGGCTGAGGAAGCCATGAGGAGCAAGCCAGTAAGCAGCACCCTCCATGGTCTCTGCATCAGTTCCTGCCTCCAGGTCCCTGCCTTGCCTGAGTCCCTGCCTTGACCTCCTCAGTACTAGGTTATGGCCTGAGAGCTATACGATGAAATAAACCCTCTCCTCCCCAAGTTGCTTGGTCATGGTTTCATTGCAACAGTAACTAAGACAGAACATCTGTTGAAAGGATGGGAGCATCCCAGAGGCTGGTCACTGAGCATCAGAGCCTGGGGTGGGAGCTGCCAAGGGAGGCAGGTCTAGTCTATGGGAATGAACTCTCTCGAAGGTCACAGAAAGCTGGGAGGGGTGAGGATTGCGTAGTCTGGGTTTCCAGTGGACCTACCTGTCTGCATATTGAGAACAGTTTATAAGAAGGCAGCAAGGTGCCGAGAGGCAGGCAAAGGGCATGTGGACCACGGCCTGGTGATAGCACAGTGATGGAGAGTAGCTGAGGAGCTCAGTAGTGTATGAACAAAAGCAGGCCCCTGAGGGTAAGTATTCTGACCTGTGCCCATTAATCCCTGCCTGGAGCCCTTTCCTAAGCCATCTACATGCTGCTGCTGGAGCTCAGGCTGGACTCATAGATGCCTCCTCAGGCGTAGACCCAATGATGGATCCCCAGTATTCACCACTACCTGCCCTGGTGGAAACTGGGGCAGTGTGCTGGTGGGCCAGACATGAGGCTTGGGGGTATAGCAATGTTGCAGTTCTCCTTATAGACACTGTATGGTTAAGATGCCTGAGGGAGGGCTGGAGAGATGGTTCAGAGGTTAAGAGCACTGACTGTTCTTCCAGAGGTCCTGAGTTCAATTCCCAGCAACCACATGGTGGCTCACAACCATTGGTAATGAGATCTGGTGCCCTCTTCTGACTTGCAGGAATACATGCAGACAGAATACTGTAAACATAATAAATAAATAAATCTTTTTTAAAAAAATGCCTGAGGGAGATCTCTGGCTTCTACCTCTATTTGCAACTGCTTCCTTAAAAAACAGTACCAGAAGACCCCAGAGAAAGGAACGTGTAACCACCTGACCATCCTGAACCGTGGGAACCTTGTTCGTCTATTTCAGCAGTCGATATTCCTGCAAAGCAGGCTACTGTCTCCTTCAGGTGACGAAACCAAGGCTCCAAGAGCTTGTCATGCTTAGGTAAGCCATGAACTGGCTGCATTTCACCTCTGACCCCCAGCAAAGTCCACTGTGCCCAGTCCTGCCCTCACTCACCGCCCGCACATCGTCAGGCAGGTCCTCATCCATCTCGCCCTTGAGGATCTTCTCCAGGGTGTTGATGGCGATCTCCAGGATCTTCTCATGGTGATGGTTCTCCAAGTCCCGGCACTGAGCCATCCTGCAGTTGTGAGTTAAAGCCAGGGGCAGAGCGAGCCAGGTGTCTCTCACCTGTAGCAGGGCCTCTGCTAAACAAGGCTACAATCTCCACCAGAGAGACCAGTTTCTAAGACAGTGGTTCTCAACCTTCCTAACGCTGTGACCCTTTACTACAGTTCCTCATGTTGTGACCCTCAGCCATAAAATTATTTTGTTGCTACTTTGTAACTGTAATTTTGCTAATGTTATATGAGTCAAAAATATTTGATATGTAGGATATCTGATATGTTACCACTGCTCTAAGGGTTCAAGATCTGCTTCAAGGTGCTAGGGGCATCATGGCCATCAAGCTGTCACCCCCCCATGCATCAAAGCCCAGGACCATCGTCAGGTCCTCATATCATTCCGGTCCTAATACTGGGTCATTACTGTCCCTCAGGGTCCTCACTCTGTTCCTCCATCCCCAATGGCTTCCCAACACTGCAGTAGACCTCACTGGTCTCACATACTCTCTTCCCCCTTCTCCTGGAAGAAGACTGAGGATTTAAGTAGCCAGTTCCTAGCTTAGAGCATCCTGGAGCTTCCATTCTCTGACGCGGCCTGAAGTCCTCATCTGGAGACTTGTTTTCTCAGGTTCATCCTCGGGATCTTTGAACACACTGCTTCTGCTGACTGGAATGTATCGACTTTCACCTGTTCCTGTGGCCACCTGCAGATCTTTTAGTGTTTAGGGAGACGCTGACCCTTTACCCTCCATACCACTTGGTACTTGAATGACTGCATGCTGGACTCTGAGCCCCAGGATGATAGAACCTGAGTTCCTTCTGGGGTGGAACTGAGCACTTTGCCCCCATAAAGGGCTGGTCATGTTTCAAATGTTGGTTTCTAACCTTAACAAGTAGCCTGCCAAGCTCCTTTTAACTTGTCCTGTCTTCAGAGTGGGTGTTGCCTAATCCCAGAGTATTTTCCTGCAACAAAAAGTGAGGCAGTGATTCTGAGATGTCAGTGTCCCCATGAACATCTCCCACTGCACTGGAGTCCCTCTGGGCTTCCAAACTGGCATTCTAGCAAGGCCATCACTGTGTAGTGTCGGGAACCACTTCAGGTGTCATGGAGTATACTCAGTGATCACCAAATGTGCATCCTATGATAGGAAGGACCTCTTCCTTGATGAAAATTGGTAGCTGTTACGTTCTTCTACTTTCAAAAATGGAGAGCTGTGAACTAGGACCCTGTGGAGAGTATAAACACCTTCTTGGGGTGAGGGCTTAGGTCTTTCTGCAAATCCATGGGGGGTAAGTATTTTGGGTAGGAACTGAAGCATGATCTAAAGTGCTCACTTTACTCTGTAGCAGGAGCAGCAGGGGGTGTGGCTCTGCACCTCCACTTGTTCACACACTGCTAGTCTCTACTTACCCTTCTCTTTTCTTCAGTGCTGGGGATCGAACCCAGGGCTCACACCTGCTAAGCAAGTTCTCCACCGAGCTATCCCTTGATCTCCTCTTAATTTCCGAATTTTTTTGTTAAAAACCTTGGCACTTTCGCCCCAGCTGCTCTAGCGGCCAAGACAACCCTCAGGAGCCCGTGGTGCCTTCCCATGGGGTGAGGTAGGGCCCATCACAGAAAGGATATAGACTTTGGACATTTTCAATAAATAGTCCCACCAAGTCAGTGATGTTTCTTTCAAACATGTTTATAGTCTCCTGAAAACGATACAGAAGACAGTCAATATAGGTATCGACATCCTTGGCACCACCTCCAATCACAGACCCTTAGAGGCAAAGACCACCCCACTTGACTTTGTAGGGCGGATGGCTAAGGACTGACCCCGCCTTTTCAGAGCCCTGCTACTCTCCAGTGTCAACTCACTACCCCAGAATGTTTATGCTGTCAATGTTTTTTGAAAAGATTTACTTACTGTATGTATACGAGTGTTTTGCCTACATGTATGTATGTGCACAGTGTGTATACCTGGTGCCTGCAGAAGTTAGGAGTCAGGAGGAGGCACTGGATCCCCTAGAACTGGAGTTACAGACAGTTGTGAGCTGCCATGTGGGTTCTGGGAATTGAACCCGGGTCCTCTGGAAGAACAGCCAGTGCTCTTATCCGCTAGGCCATTTCTCCAGCCCCAGGTTTTAATTTTTTTTATATTACATGTGTGTGTGTGGGGGGGGGTGGGGTGTGTGTGTGTGAGCACATGTGGAGATCAGCGGACAATTTGTAGGAGTCAGTTCTCTCCTTCCATCATGTGGGTCCCAGGGATCAAACTCAGGTCATCAGGCTTGGTGGTTAGCGCCTTTACCCACTAAGCCAGATCATCCTGCAGCCCTGTCACCAGGCCTTTTGCCTATAGCTGCCTCTGCCAGGAGCACATATCCTGGGCTCACTCCCCTCCTCCCTGAATGGACCCCTTCCTTTTAGGCCCCTCAGCAGGATCTGGCCGTCATCTCCACAAAAGCAGTAGAGGGAGATCTCAAGAGCCAGCTCCACTACAGGGACATCATTTCATCTCTCTGGGCCTCCTCATATGGGAGACGGGTTTTCTGTGTAGTACCATGGTAGTTAGTTGGGGTAAACTAGCTACATCACCCAAATGATTTACCAAGCATCTGGCAGAGCCAGGACCTTGGGTAAGTGCTAGCTGCTACCCTAGACTTCCAACAGTTAGTTGCTACTTAGCAGAGCACTTGAGGCCGAAACGGATCTCAATGTTGTTGGGAAAGTGATAGAAGAATGTGATTATGAAGCCTGCTCCCCTGGAAGACCCTTTCCATGCCTCCTACAGACCTCTAGCACTACAACTTGAGCCCATGGATGCGGGACACCCATAGGAGCCCAAGGCCTGTCTGCAGGCTGTAAAAATGAGCCCGTTCTCACATGTGTGAGCACTATTTTGGTGAATAAAAGTAAGGACATTAGAAAGCACAAGCAAGTGTCTTCCAGCTTTAAGTGGCTGGTGACCCGGGCAGGACAAGAGCATAGATCTGGGAAATGTTTGGATCTGAAAACAGTCTCCCTGCTTGAAAGGGCTGGGGGCCAGCAGCAGCCCTCCCCTGCACGCATGCACGCACGGCCTCTGCAGTACTTGAGCAGAGCAATTCCCGGTGGGAAATGAGCGGCTGCTGTGCTGTGCGACAGCGAATCTGTCCCGTGTAGGAAGTGTCACTTGACGTGTGAGGAATTGATTAGGCACTGTCTCTTGGCCCAGCCAGAGCAACATCTGATGAGGTCCAATTCATCACACCACTTCCAACTCCCAGGCTGGCTGCCTGCAAACACACAAGTCACCCTGGCTACAAATGCATTTGAGGCAGTCGTGCTTTTTATTTCCCATTGTCAGTGCCAAGTGACGGGCTCCTCACATCGCCTACCCTGAGACAGCAAGCCCAGGCAGCAACACTGATGAGCCTTTGTTTGGTTCCCGAGTGGAGGTCCACCTTGTCTCAGAAGCCCCCGAACCTCCCCTTGGATCTGATAAGAAATCTGAGGCTCTGGGCTCTTCTAGGATAGGGGAGAGGAGATTTGCAGAGGAATAACTTCACCTCTCATTCTCCAGAAGAGTTCTTTCCCAGGCAGCAAAGATAGCAGTGTGTGCCTTTCTTTTTTCTTTTCTTTTACTTTCTTTCTTCCTTCCTTCCTTCCTTTCTTTCTTTCTTTCTTTTTTTTTTTTGCATCGCTGAGGATGGAACCCAGGGCCTTGTCTGTGCTAAGCAAGCACTGAGCTGCACTTCCAGCCCCTGCCTTTAATGTATTTTAATAGTTCTGGAAGGAAGTGATTGTGTGGGTGTGGGTGTGCGCATGCTTGTGTTCCTATTTGGTGGTGTGCACATGTGTGTGGGGGTGTGTGTATGTACTATGTGCACATTGGATGGAGGCAAAGGACAACCTCAGACACCATTTGCCTGCTTTTCCTCTCACTGGCCTGGAACTCAGCATGCTTGCTAAGCTATTTGGCCAGTGAGCCCTAGAGACCCAGCTGTCTCCACCTGCCCAGTCTTCTCCTGCATGTCTACTGGGTTACACTGGGCACACAGGGGCAGAGCCTGTGGAGGGCATGCTTGCAGGGTTCTGCAACTGCATGCTGAGGGACGTATGGATGTGTGCAGTCTGGCTGCACCTCCAGCTACTCCACCAGCTGCATGCTGAGGGATGTATGCATGTGTGCAGTCTGGCTGCACCTCCAGCTGCTCCATCAGCTGCATGCTGAGGGATGTATGCATGTGTGCAGTCTGGCTGTACCTCCAGCTGCTCCACTAGCTGCATTTCCAGTGTCATGAGCATGTTGAACAGCTCATTGATGTCATCACTGCACTCTATTAGCTTCTTCTCGATGCTGGGCAGATCACTCTCTTCTCGGATGGTATTTAAGTTCTACAAACAAAAACCATGTTTCAGGATTCAGTAGTTAAACGTGTTACTCAGTAGGAAGTGACAATTTTGTTTTATGGGTTAAAAACTGGGAGTCTGGGTTGAAGTGCCCAAGTTCAAGCATTAGCTCGCAATTTGCTAGTTCTGTGACCTTTGGAGACGCTACCTGCTGCTCTGGCATATTGTATGTAAAGGTACCTGCACATGACGGATGGAACAAGAGCATTCAGACCTCCCCTTATCTCCTTGAAAGTAGAAGATGAAATTCCCATGGGCAAGGTTCTTTGTCTGTGCCAGGAGGAGGGAAGACATTCTCATCATCGGAGATGGGAGCCACAGCTGAGGAAAATCTGTGCAAATCAAGCTTTTAAAACTAACTCATAGGGCTGGAGAGATGGCTCAGTGGTTAAGAGGCCTGGCTGCTTTTCTAGAGGACCCTGGGTTCAATTCCTAGCACCCACATGACAGCTCACAACTGTCTATAACTCCTGTTCCTGAGGCTCAGATGCCCTCTTCTGGCCTCCATGGGCATCAGGCATGTAAATAATGCACAGACATACATGTAGGCAAAACATCCACACACATAAAATAGAAATAAATAAAGAAATGAACTCATCCCAGGCACAGTGGCACCTGTGTGCAATCCCAGCGGATGTGGGAGAATCAAGAGCTGAAGGCCAGCCTAAGATTCCAGATTAGAGCAAGAATGAGGCCCTGTGTCAAAAATCCAAAACCCAAACCCAGAAACCAAACCAATGAAAACAAACAAAAAAGCTCAGAAAGAAACAAAACAACCAGGCATAGTGGTGCATGCTTTTAATCCTAGCACTTGGGAGGCAGAGGCAGGCAGATCTCTGAGTTTGAGGTCAGCCTGGTTTACAGAGGGAGTTCCAGGACAGCCAGGATTACACACAGAAACCCTGTCTCAAAACAAACAAAAAAGTAAAGAAAGAAATAAAGTAAAGTAAACCTTACCAGCTAATCACATCTCTACTATCCTTAGCCTTGTTCTCACAGCTTAATCCAAGTTGTCCAGTCCAGTCCAGTCATGAACCACACAATACCGTCCCAGTCAGCAATATACTGCATGTATGACAGTGGCTCCCTAAGACAACGATGCTACAAAGTTCCAACTACCTCCTAACAGCTTGGTGTTCCCACAGGGACATCCCCATAATGACAGATTTCTCAGAACTTATCACCACCATAAAGTGATGTATAATCACACAGTAAGCTTTAAGCCCTGCTTTTTGTTGTTGTTTATTTCTTTTGAGATGGGGTCTCATGTATTCAAGACTGGCCTTGAACTTGCTTTGTAGTTGAAGATGACCTTCAACTCTGATCCTCTTGCATCTATCTTCCAAGTGTTAGGTCCACAGGCATGCACTATTACACCTGCTTTACGTAGTGTACTCATATACAGGTAAACTTAGGAAATAAAATTTGCAAGCTGAGGATTTGGCTCCATGGAAGAGTATTTGCCTAAGTGGTAAGGTTGTGGGCTGGTACCCAGACTACCCCCCCAAAAAAAATCAGTTTACTTAGCACAGTGTGGGAAGTTAAAAGTACAAGGCTGGTTAGCCTCATCTGTTTGGACTCTCTGCAGGGCCTCTTAGCTGCATCACAACATGGTGGGTGGCATGACATTGGAGTACATGCTCCAGTGTCAAGTAAATGACAGGTGTACAGAGGAGTCATGTGGGAAGGGAAGATGCACAGGAGAGGGCTGGCAGAGCAGAGTTTGCTTTATAGCACCCACCTCTAAGAGGTCAGCAACCCAAGCCCACACAGGGAAAAGCATCGGTCCTTCCTATTGACCAATTCATTTCTTTTAAAATAAACAAAAGTTATTGGGTGTGTATGCATGTGGAGTTCAAAGGACAACTTTGTGGAGTTGGTCCTCTCTTTTCACCTTTGCATGGCTTCCAGGAATTGAACTGAGGTCTCCAGCCTTGTACAGCAAATGCCTTTACCTCATGAGCCATCCCTCGCTCAACATCCCCAATCACTTCCTAAAGGTACCACATCTCAATATTGATGTGTTAGTTAGGGATGAAGTGATACCCATGCCATAGCAAAACCAGTTCCAATCTTCGAGCGAACCAGACAGACCTCCTTAGAGCCCCAGGAAGCAAGTGGAAGTCCATGGAAAACAGAGTGAACGAGACAGTCTCGTGAGCGGATGAGCAACCTGGTCATGAGCAAAGGCCCCAGGAAGGTGAACAGCAGCAGTGCAATGCAACCTGTGGTTGTGACTAACAGTATGAGCCCTGAAGCAGGAAGGAGTAACGGCATTGCTTTTCGTTTGGTTGGTTTTTGGTTTTTCGAGACAGGGTTTCTCTGTGTAGCTTTGTGCCTTTCCTGGAACTCACTCTGTAGCCCAGGCTGGCCTCGAACTCACAGAGATCCCCTTGCCTCTGCTTCCCAAGTACTGGGATTAAGGGCATGCACCACCACTGCCCGGCTCAAGAAAGATTTTTGTGGGGACTCTCAGAATGGAGAAATACTTTCCAAGAACAACCAGAAGGAAGACGGATAAATTCTATTCTATTAAAAATTTATGCCAGGCAGTGGTGCCTTTAATCCCAGCACTCAGAAGGTGGAGGCAGGCAGATTTCTGTGAGTTTGAGGCCAGCCTGGTCTATAGAGTGAGTTCCAGGACAGCCAGGACCGTTACACCGAGAAACCCTGTCTCCAAAAACAAAAACGACCACAACCAAAAAATTTATGCTGCTGCTGGTGGTGGTGGTGGTGGTGGTGGTGGTGGTGGTGGTGGTGGTGGTGGGGGTGGTGGTGGTGGTAGTGGTGCACACACCTTTAATCCCAGCACTCAGGCGGCAGAGGCAGGCAGAGCTCTGTGAGTTCAAGGCCAGTTTCATCAACAGAGTGAGTTCTGGGACAGGCAAAAGCTACACAGAGAAACCATTTCAAAAAACCAACATAATAATAATAATAATAATAATAATAAAATGATATGCTAGGGATATATATAATATGCTTAGTAGTAGACTGCCTGACTACCACAAACAAACACTCCTCATGACAAAAGTACCATAGACAAATGTCAAGATAAATAACGAACTGAGGAAAACACTCTGAAGTAACTTTGAAGACCCAAGGCTGCTAGCTCAACCTATAAAGAGCCGTAATAAAGTAATCCTTTAAAACACAGAGGGGTGGCGCACGCCTTTAATCCCAGCACTCGGGAGGCAGAGGCAGGCGGATCTCTGTGAGTTCGAGGCCAGCCTGGTCTACAGCGCGAGATCCAGGAAAGGCGCAAAGCTACACAGAGAAACCCTGTTTCGAAAAACCAAAAAAAAAAAAAAAAAAAACAAAACACAGAGGGAAGGGAAAGAGACAATGGCAGATGGCTGTAAACTAGACAAGCAAAATCAAGGCTAGGTTAAAATGAGGGGCTTGTGAGGAGCAGGCAGGCTGTGGATGGAACGGACTTGGTGGATGCCGAGCATTATGCACCCCACTAAAAACCCGAGGCACCGCGACTTGATCCCTGCCTGCGCTGCTGGCAGAGGGGCCCCAGGAACCTCTGAAGTTCCCTGGCCCTTCTCTGGAAGTGAGCCTTTCAGAGCTCTAAGACAACCCCTCCACTCTGCTCACTCGGGTAAGGATGCCTTTGGCCCAAGCCCCTGGGCTGGCTCAGTGGAGCTGTGTGTGGTACCATTTGGTAAAACTGTGATCCCTGGCACATGAACAGAGACTAGGGGCCTCCAGGACCACCAGAGGGCACAGACATTGCAGACCCTCCACAGTGAGGGGAATCCTGGCACCCTGGCACCCTGGCACAGGAGAAGGGGACTTACCAGCAGATGCCTTTCCTCAAACTTGGCAACCTTGAGCTTGCCCTGGTCCTGGTTCTCCTGGATGGCCTCCTGTATGCACTCATTGAAAGTGTCTAACTCCAGCTTCCGCTTCTCCTGCTGCTTCAGGCCGTACTCGAAAATGTTCAGGCAGATGATGACAAATTTGTCCTTGTAGGTAAGTGGCTGTTAAGGAAGTGTGGGGCTCAGGAGCAGGCTACCAGGACTGTGACAAAAATGTTGACAGTTCCTTGCAGAGCATGCCATGCTGAACACTATGGAGGCTACAGGTGGTCCTTTTGACAGAAGGAGGAACAGAGGAGCCGAGGAGCTGGGGTTTGCCATTTGGAGCCTAACGTGGTAGTTATCTATCTCTACCTGCACCTAAGGAACTCAGGAGCACAGCTAAAGGCCCTAGAAGAGACTCCCAGAGGACTGGGGGTCCAGGCAAGAGCTAGAAGCAGCCTGGTCAGGAGAATGAGTTGAAGCCTTTTTTTTAAATCTCTGGTTAAATTAAAATCTTTAAAAGAAATCCTCTGGGAAGGGCCTGTCCTGTGGCTCATCTGAGCTCAGAGGAACTAGGTGGTCTAGGTTCAAGTCATGGCTCCAATGCTGCTTCTGAGATCCATCCTAGTAAATTACCTCTCTGGGCCTCAGTGTCCCTACCTCAGCTAAGGGCATCGAGGAAGCCACCACAAAGAGTCCTTTGGAGGCTGGGCATGATGGCACACACCTGTAATCCCAGAATTTAGGGGTGAGGAGCAGAGGCAGGAGATCTCTGTGAGTGAGTTCCAAGCCAGCCAGGGCTACAAAAGCAAAACCTTGTCACAAAACAAACAAACAAATAAACAAACCCAGAGGATCCTGGGGATGCTGTGGGATGTGTTCAGGAGAGCGGATGCCTCTCAAAAACCCCACAGCTTCACAGTGCTTAAGCTGAGAGCATGGATCTCTGAGGAAGAGGGCTGGACTGAGAAAGTTGTCAGGTTCTGTGTGGCCACCAATGTCCAGGCTCTGCCTTTAGGTGCTCACCAAAGCTGGCCAGAGGAGCTAGGAGGCCATGGATGGAGGTTCTCACATAGGAGTCATCACAGGGCCAGCCAGCTACATACTCTCATATGCCCAGCCTAGGAAAAGAACCAGCTGTACCCCATGACTGCTGCTGGCACCATGAAATTGCACAATGCAGTCACTTTTCAGGCCTGGGGAATTATGACTTTTCCCAAACTGCAATTCTAGTTTCATATTTTATTCCCAAATAACACTTCCTGTCTTAGAGATTTGTCTCTGTAGCTTTTCTGGCAGTTGACACCAGTGTTGGTGTCCCCGCAGACCTATTTGGGACTGGCTGTCTCAACTCAGAGCCCTCAGCTCCACAACGCCTCATGTCCCGGAAGTCCCCTCCATCTCCCACTTGCCACTGAAGCCCATGGCTTGGCTCTCATGATCACAGCCACTATCTGTGACAAGTGCTGACTCCATCTTTGGGCTCTGACCAGCTAGGGGACAAATGCACGCTCTCAGGCCCCACAGAGTGATCCTGTACAAACTACTTAACCTCTGGGGTTACCAATGGCAGCCACCTGGTGGGATGCTTAAGGGGATGTGGATCAAGAGCAGTAATGTAGCCGGTGGAGATCCCTGATATAGAAACATATTCCCTACTCCATCTCAGAAAACCCAGCTCGCCAGGCATGGCAGACCCAGCCAGCAGCTGTCACTCAATGTGCCTGCAGAAATCTGGACAGCACTGCCCCGCAAAGGTCAACTGGTCCAGCTGGAATGGCCTTTGGCATACATGTAGCCAGCAGAGATTTAACTACCAGGGTCTCACATGAATGATGGGGAAACTGAGGTACAGAGTAAAATGAACTTGCCCAATGCAAGCTGGCGAGGCAGCAGTGACCCAGAAAGGATATGCCTCAAGGAGCTCACCAACACCAGGCAGGTAGGAGAGCTTGTTGCCCTCCACGTCCTCAGAATACATGCTGTCAAACAGGAAGGAGCCATCCAAGTGATCAATGAACGCCAACTGTGGATTAAAATACCCAGACATGGTGACCCAGAGCCAGGCTCTTATGAGGGTTGAGGCAGCCAAGGATTCCTGAGGGGGGACAATGCACCTGAGCTGCAGCCCTCCCTCCCAGGAAGGCAAGTGTGTGGTGTTGTTCCAGGCCCAGGGAGGATATGTGTAGAGATGCAGAAGATAGAGCGGCAGGCTGTTTTCCAAGAAGTGGCCTACCGCTCTGCCTAGGTTCATAGGGAGCTGGGGCTGGTCGTAGAGAAGCCAGCAGGTCATAGCCACAAATTCAGGGCCACAGAGCTGAAGACCAAACTGTAACTGCATGGGATGGGAACCAGCTGGAGGGTCTTCAGTAAAGGAGTCACTAGAACCAAGTGTTTTTTAGGACCATGTCTTTGGGCTTGGGGGTGGGGATGGGGACCAGACATGGTGATAGGGACTGTGCAAGGCAGAGAGCAGGTGTCAGGTCTGGTGACCGTGGTACGCTTTACAAGTTTTGGGAGTCTGAGGATCCCTGTGGATCTTGGTTTAATGTGACTGGCACTGTCATGGTACATCTGTGTCCAGGGCAGCCCTGTGTGGTACCTTGTGCTCCGCCAGCTTTTCCCGCCGGGCCTGCTCATCCTCCAGCCGGGCCTGCATCAGGGCCTCCCGGTGCTTCAGCTCATCAATGCTGTACTGATGTTTCAGCTTCGCCATCTCTTTCTGATGCAGGGACGGGAACAGCATTGTTACCAAAGGATATCTGGTTCCTCCAGCCTCACACCCTCGGGCCTTGTGAGCACGGCCAGTGTGTTGGAGGGTATCTTTCGTAAAAGCTGGGAAAGGCATGAGGCCTTGGAGAAAGAACGCCTGGGGGAATCCCAGAACTAGAGGTGCCCCAAGGGCCTGTCCTGAAGCAGCTTGACGTGCCCCTGGCCCCTTCCTGAATTCTACGGCACCAGTTTGAAATCAGGCATCACGGTTGGAGGGGAGTCCCACTACCTGCTTGACAGAGTTCTGCTTTTATGAACTTTTACTCATTATTTATTTTGAATCATGGAAGGCCATGTGGCCACATGTGCTGCTGCCCTTGATGGGAACTTCTGAGAATCCACGAGACCATGCCTGAGCACAGTACTGCAGATGCAGGGCTGACCTGTGACCTTTTTCAGTGCTGGAAATACAACGCAAGACCTCATGCCAGGGTGAGTGTTAGACTTCAGAACTACACCCTTAGCCCCTGTCCTGTGCTTTTTAAAGGGCATCATACACTCAAGCTTTTGAGCCCATGACACATTTCAAATTAACACCTAAATCTCGGCTTCTTAAGTTGAGGGTTGCTATCCCATACTGGATGGAGTAACTGAATGTGGAGGTCACACACACACACACACACACACATACACACACCTGGCAACAATAAAAGTTTTCTGAAAATACAATGACCAAAATTTAATTTAAAATCAAGTGTATAATTGACCCCAGATGTTTCTGGCCTTGCTTAATCATGCCGAATTATGACTTCACTATAGTCTTGGTTCTGAGTAGAAACCATGCACACCCTATGTGTACATGAATGTTATCTACCATGCTTCCTGACCCCCACCTGCACTCCAGATTTGAGATGGTGTTGTTTTCTGTGTAAAGTATCCTGCCGTTATAGAAACATACTTGTTTAACTGCAGAAAATAATGACCATCATTCTTTGGTATGTAAGTGTTGTTATTACACTTTTTAATTGTATTATGTTAGAAAGTTTGGTTTTAAAAAATGCTGTTTGAGTTGCTGACAAGTTTCACTGAATGAATTTTGACTTGGGATTAGGACAGAATTCTCAAAATTTTCTTTTAAGATGTTAATATTATTGCATATGTTTGATGTGTATGTGTGGGGGGGACCATGTACCAAGGGGCAAATGTAGGTCAGGGGACAACGTTTTGGAGTTATTTCTCTCTCTCCAGCCTTATGTAGGTTCTGGGGCTTGAACTCAAGTTTGCAGGCTCATACAGCAAGCACATTTAACCCGCTGAATCATTTGCTGACCCCTCAATAATTTCTGAAATGCCCCTAAGCAGAATTCTGCCATTTTGTTCTATGTGTTTATGCAAAGCAGTTCTTATCCTTGAGAACTAGAAAATCAAAATATTGATCAACTCTTAAAACTGTTGAAGAGTCTCTGCATCTTGCAGTTTATATATCTAGTAAAGATTTAATGTTTAAGACAGGGTCTCTGTATTTAGGGCTGGCTTAGTACTCACTAGACAGACCAGGCTGGCCTCAAACTCACAGAAATCTGCCTGCCTCTACATCCTGAGTTCTGAGATTAAAGGCATGTGCCACCACACCTGACCTTAATTTTTTTTAGATTTCATTTATTGTGTGTATGAATGTTTTGCCTGCATGTGCACCATATGAATATGAATGTGTACTGTATGTATACTTGGTGCTTGTGGAGGTCAGACGAGGATGTCTGATCTCCTGGAACTGGAAAGGATCCAGTTACAGATTGCTATGAGCCACCATATGTGTGGTGGGAACTGAACCCAGGTCCTCTGCAAGAGCAGTAAGTGCTTTTTTTTTTTTTTTGGTTTTTCAAGACAGGGTTTCTCTGTGTAGTTTTGCACCTTTCCTGGAATTCACTCTGTAGCCTGGCTCTGCCTCCCGAGTGCTGGGATTAAAGGCGTGCACCACCATTGCCCGGCGCAGCAAGTGCTCTTAACCACCGAGCCATTTTTCCAGCCTTTCCCTCCCCATGATATTTAATTAAAGATTTTTTGAGATTTACTTATTTTATGTGCACGGATGCTTTGTCAACATGTATGTCTGTGAACCACATGCATGCAGTGGTGTGGAGGCCAGAAGAGGATGTTGGATCTCCTGGAACTGGAGTTACAGAGGGTTGTCAGTCACGGTGTAGGGAAACAAACCTGGGTTCTTTGGAAGAGCAGTCAGTGCCTTTAACTGCTGAGCCAGCTCTCTAGATTCACCAAGATTTAATCTTTATGCAAAAATAAACAGCCACCTACATCTCATTAGTATGCAAATGTATTTTTTTTAAAGATTTATTTATTTATTATGTATACAGCATGTATGACTGTAGACCAGAAGAGGGCACTAGATCTCATTAGAGATGGTTGTGAACCACCATGTGGTTGCTGGGAATTGAACTCGGGACCTCTGGAAGAGCAGCCAGTGCTCTTAACCTCTGAGCCATCTCTCCAGCCCACAAATGTATTTTTGTCTAGTGTGTGTGTTGGGGGTGGGTGTACACGTGAGTTTATGTGTGTGTATGGGGGCCAGAGGACAACATCAAGTTTTGTTACTCAAGAGCCATCCATCTTGTTTTTGAGATGGGCTCTCTCCCTGGTGTGGGGCTTGTCAAGTGGGCTAGACTGGCTGAGTTCTAGGATCCTCCTGTCTCTGCTTCCCTAGCACCTGACATAGAGAAACTTCATGGTCCTGCTACTAAAGGCCTCACAAACACACACACACACACACACACACACACACACACACACACGCACGCACGCACGCACGCACGCACACGCACACACACACACAGAGCATGGGGCTGAAAGAACAACTTCCTGGAGCCAACTCCTAGATTAACCCTAACTGACTGGGAGACTGTGCATGAATCGTTTCCCTTGTGTGCTAGTTTACGAGTGCTTCCAGAATGATGGGGACGAGAGCAGGGCCTTCACAGCCTGGAGTGACAACACTCAGGGGATCGCTATGGAATGGCTCCCAGGCTCAGGCTTGGGGTAAGTCTGGCCCTGCCACCAGTTCAGGATCATGACAATTTACTGTTCACCTTCCTTTGCTCTCCTTAAAGTCTTCACTTGGAAAACAGACAAGAGCTGCCTGGTAGCCCTCGTGATATGTAGAAGGGGTCTGGGACTGCAGGAAGCCACTCTGGAATGGCTGTGCATAGGTGGGGAGAGGGCTCGGCCAGGAACCATCTTCTCTTAACCACAGATGGGGAGATATCCTCACTGTCTCTGGAAACCTTGGGCCCTAAAGACTGTATAGCAGAACCAGGAACAGAGCCAGGATACTTACCACCTGCTCATCAATGTGCCGGAAGTCCAGGTACACGAGGTCAGGAAGATAGGCATAGATGAACATCTTGTACTCCTCTGCCTCAGCAATGGGGTTCCCAGAGAGGGTGAGTGTTCGTAGGCATTTGAACCGGCGCAGGTAGATGACCTGGGGAGGGAGAAGCAGAAGTCTGCCACAAAACTAGAGCAGCACATAACAGCTCCTCCCTCTACACCCTTCCTGAGTCTACAGCCTGGCCAGGGCACCTTCCACCCAGACAGGTGAGGGCCTGTGGCTTCTGTGGCAGACTTTAGTCCTGAGACCAGCCACAAACTTGCAGAAGAATCAGACAAGGAGAACTCAAATCCTAGCTGAGGGACTTTCGGCACATGATCAGTCTAGTGTGTGAGCCTTGATTCCCTCCTCTATAAAATGGACAGAATGACATGGTGTATCATAAGACGGCCACATGAAGTAAGCTATGAGAAGCAGTCAGCAAGGGGCACATCACTCACTGAGTGAGTGTCCACTTACAACAGGGTGATGTTTTAGATAGTAAAACCACAGGAAGGTCCCAAGTGTCCTACGTTAAATGGAGGTGGATTCCTGGCTCACCCTTCACTGGACAACAGCAAGAAGAGCATTCTACTGGGTGCGGTTCATTTTTCCCATGCTTTGGTTTTAGTAAAATGAGGAGACCAACCACGTGGCTTGTGCTTGCATAACAGCAACATGGAAACACAGACGCTGCACTGTGCACCAGCCAGGTAAGGTTTCTCAAGGCCTCTGCAGCAGCTCCTGCCCTGCCTTCCTTCGATGACAGACTGTGATGCGATGTGTAAACAAGTAAACCCTTTTCTCCCCGAGTTGCTTTTGCTCATGGTGTTTTATCACAGCAATAGAAACCCTCACTAAGACCCAGCCATGGAAGAGCAGTCACAGGCCTGAGGCAGCAGAGAGCTCTGCACCGCCACCAACAGCACTCAGCCGAGGTTGCTGCAGAGCAGTGGGGAGGGGACAGCTGGAAGGACAGAAGACACGGGGGAGATGGTATCAGAGGCTGCTTCCTGGAAGGCCATCCAGGCTTTCAGGAAGAATTTAGAGGTGTCCTAAAAACTACGGAAGCCACTGGAGTCTTGTTTATGGAGGAAGGCAGTATCTGGTTTAATTTCTAGAATATTTTTCAAGTACGAGTCCCTTTACATCTTTTAGCCACCGAGAGAAAAAAGTTGCTGACAAAATGTGTGGTAGTAGGTAAGCGTGAGCAGGCAGCCTTCTCTGAGGGAGGTCTGGAAACAGTTCCGGTTCACTAGACGAGTTTGGCAAAGAAGTAGGATGCCCTCTGATCTAGCAGCCCCACTCCAGGAGTTTACCTTACAATGGAATGATGCACTGTAGAGAACCCTGTTCCACTATACCTTGCTCACAGACATGCAATGGCACCAGCTGGAAATGACCTTCACTGCCACCCTAGAGAACCAGGGCCACATGATGATCCAGCAAGGGGGGTGGGGTGGGGAATCCCGTCTGCTGTGTCAGTAATCATGCTAAGTGCTGACTGGAGAAGAGAGGGGTCAGTTGAAGGCAGGTGCCTGGAGGACAGCTGGACAAATGTGACAGTCACACACATGCTTGAACACAGGATGCCTGGAGGGTAACGCATGGAACTTAGAAGAAGCTCAGGCGTGGGGAAGAGGCAGGAAAACTGAGGCTTCTGTGCTCTGACTTAGGATTACTTGGCTGTGTTTTTAAGGCAATCAGCAGGTACTAAAATAACCCCAACAAATAAATAAATTACAAAACAGTGTGTAGTTAGATGTTGAATAAATAGGAAAGACTCTAGGCAAAAAAAGCTAGTGCCTGCTGGAGAGAGATGGCTCAGTGGTTAAGAGCACTGGCTGCTTTTCCAGAGGACCTGAGTTCGATTCCCAGCACCTACATGGTGGCTCACAACTACCTGTAACCCCAGTTCTAGGGGATCTAACATCATCTGATGGCCTCTATGGGCTCTGCAAGTAAGTGTTGCACAGAAGTACATCTGCGTACTTACAAACATACACATAGAATAATAAAGTAAAATAATTTTTTTTAAAAAAGCTAGTGCCTAGGGGGTGTCAGTCAGGCTTCTGTGGGTCAAGCAACAAAGATTATTTCCTGGTTAGGTGGAGAGGATGCCAGATCCCTAAGGTCTCTAGGTCTGGGGACACTTGGCCTAGATATCTCAGATATCTTGCAGGTTTCCATGGACAATCGTTTTTCTCTTTCTTTGGAGATAGGCTATAAGTACATCTAGAGTACTGACAAGAGAGCTTGGTACCCAGCACCCTACTGGAGAGAGTGATGAGCCCTCACCTGCCCAGGTGCTGCAGGGCAGCATGGCAGAACACTAAAGTCTTTAGCTGAGAGTGGGGCATTCTGATACAGCCTCCATAACCTCTCCATCTTCTTTTGTCCAGGTCTGGGTAAGGCCTCAGCTCCATTAGAGTTTCCAGTGTCCAAAGATGATGATTCATGCTGAGATCCCAGGTGTGGGACATACTGGGGCTGAAACTGATGCTAAATGTTCAACACCAAGGTTTGAGGCTGGAAGTTCTGGGTAAGTGGTATAGCATGGACCTTGCATGCACAAGTCCCCGGATTATATCCCTAGCAGTGCTAAAACACAACTGAGTTTTTAAGAAGAAAGAAAGAAAAGATAAAGAAAACAAAAGGGCTATTTGGGGTAAACCAGAACCTGAAAATTCCTGAGTGACTATCATTTTCTGTGTACCTACTTTGTGCGGGTCCTGCATTAGGCATATAGTACAGTAACTGATTCAGTCTTCACAACAACCCTGAGGTCTACTATTAATCACATTGTGTAGATGTGCGAATGGACACATAGAATCTAAGTCATTAGTTCAATGTCAGACAGCTAACACTGGCTGACTCTGCTAGCCACACCTTCCAGGCCTTACTTGGTCACCCTGCTGAGCAGTGCTGGGGCTCCCTATCTCACAGAACAGAGAGGGGACTGGATAATTGGGGCTTGGATTTGGGAAGGGTTCTGGTGAGTTTAAATCCTCTGACCTGTTGTACACAGCAAACCTCTGAGACTATCAATCTCTGGGGTTTGACCCCACCAGGCAGACTTCAATACTAATGACAAGTCAATGCTTGATTTACTCTGCTGTTCACTTAAGCCGCCCAGCGGGCTATGCTCACACATGACATGGTCTGAGGGTACAGAGCCTTCAGTGGCCTAGCAGACTGAAGGGACACTGACACCAGAGAAGAGATTTCTCCCTCTCTCTGTCCTGTCATATACAAACAAGGATGTCATAGGATAAACAGCTAAAATAAAATGGCGAGGATGGCCGAGCCCCTGAGTCCTGTTGATAAGTCCCTTCCCTGCTATGCCACTAACCACACACCAAGTGCCCTTTGTGGCAGATGTTTAGCTTACTTCTGACTTCAGCTGGGACTGACTTTTCCTGACAGCACTCCACCTTGTATTCTGTGTCAGCAAGGTCTTCATGGCCCCAGGCTGGGAAGGACCTAATCTCCACAGAGGGACCGTAGCTGCTTGGGGACAGAATTGAAGACCAGTCCTCAGGAGGGCTCCAGCAACTAGGGAGTCCCTTTTGGAAGGCGGTCTAGATATTCCTGAAGCCCAGTAGAATCACGTCCCCATCACCCATAGGAGCAATCTCAGTGACGCCCAATGCCAACTTTCCCTCTCCCCAGCAGCTTGCTCTAGCTTCCAGAAGTCACCTCCTAAGCCAACCACCTGCACCCAAGTCCCTGCCTGAGCTTGGCCTCCAGCCAGCTTTTCTTTCTTTCAGGCCCTATCCTTTTAGGTGATACTATGCTCGACTGACCACTCACATGGTCCCCTCCAGTCCACCCTGACAATGGTGGCTTTCCTTCCTGTACATACCTGCCCGGGACATGCCTCAATGCTGACACTTCTCTAGATGCTGCTGTCTGCAACAAGATCTCAGCTCCCAGGCTGCCTGCACACCCTTGACTCTCCCCTGCAGGCTTCCCAGGTGCCTGCCTCTCTAGCTGCTGCTCACTCACCTTTTCTTCCTTTGGCCAGATGGAGGCGCTCATCCTTTTTTTTTTTTTTTTAATACAGGGTCTCAGCATGTAGTCCTGGCTGTCCTGGACACTATGTAGACCAGGCTGGTCTCAAACTCCCAGAGATCCGCTTGCCTCTGCTTCAGAGTGCTAGGATCTAGGGCACGCACCACCACACCCTGGTTCTCATATCTTTTCAGGAACTGGAATCAGGTTTGACGCTCATCCCTGACCTTCTCTCAGCAAATACCAGCCACAACAGGCATTAAGAACCTGCTCCAAAGCTGAGTTCACACCTGTAATGCAGCATTCAGGTGGCAGAGGCTGGAAGGACACGACTTTAAGGCTCACAGTGGGGTACACAGATGAAAGGAGGGGGGAGGGGAGAGGGAGGGAGAGGGAGAGAGAACAGCCTCTTCCAGCACCTGGTACTTTTGCTTCTCACCTCACCTAGAGTTTAGCTGGTGGGTCAATGTCACCTCTCTATGTGACAGGTGAGAAAACTGAGACATGGAGAGTTTGCACCTCACTCGGGCTTAGATCTTCAGGCCTGACATGCAAAATGAGGACTATGCTGTCTCTACAGTTTGGCTGTGATGAACAGCCAAGGCAGCAAGTTAAGTGTGGGCAACAACTTGGTGCCTTGACTCACTCTTTCTGCTCAGGTGAGCCATTTTGGGGCATCGCCAGGACAACTGATTGATATATGTGGAAATGGAATCTTGAAAGGTATTAGACAGCCCTGGACTGATGTCTAAGCTGGAGAAGCAATGGGATCACCTCTGACATAGCACTCAGTAGTTGTTACCAGAGACTAAGCTGTGTCTCCCTACACGGTGATGTGTACTGCGGGCAGCCTACCTCCCAACAATGTCTGCTGTCATATAGACACATTTGCCCTGCTACCATCCAGAGGGATTGCTTCATTGTTATTTGAGACACTAACTTCCTGTCATTTCTGTCTAGAGGATGTGGGTACGACTGGTTACCCCCAAAAGACCATACATTGCCATCTCTGTCTCACTAAGCACAGAGCAAATGCCCCACATCCAGCAGGTCTTTCACTTCAGTGAAGGTTTGTCACATGAGCATGAGACTCAGCAGGAATAGGACCACAGCGGAGGCCACACAACCTGGTACCCAGAGAAGATTTTGTCAGATTAAGCATGGTCTTTCCATGTTTTCAAATCCCTTGTGGAATAATTTGGATGTTTGATCTTTTCAGGAAAAGGGCATACTGTGTGTCTACCATTTGCTCTAGCACAGTCCAAGGCCCTGCTGTATTTGCACATGGGTCCCCAGGCCTGGTACTCACATTCATTATGTTGCTGATCTGGTTGTTGCCCAGCGACAGCACCTGCAGCTTCACCAGGGCATCTAGAGAGTCCATCTTGGAGATCCGGTTGTTGGACAAGCTCAGGTCCTCCAGGTTGATCAGGGTATCCAGTCCCTCAATGGTCTCGATGTTGTTGAAGGACAAATCTGAAAAGGAGGAGGACTCTGAGGGGTCTGAGGATATACTGCTTGGGTTAGACGAGGAATGGTCCTGAAACATAATCGTCAGGTTGTTAGAGCTCTTGGGAGTGACACGTAGCAGAGGAGCTGATTCAGGGATTCCAGGAGAATCAGATGGACTGTTTTCTGCAACCTTCTGTCTGCCATCCATCCGGTTCTGCCAGCTCCCCTCTGACTGGGAAGTCTTCTCTGCCCTGTCAGTTCTGGGATGAGAGCACCCAGTAGTAGATCTAAACGATGTACTTGGGGAGCAGGGGCAGAGTTGGGAGATGGCCTTTCCTTTATATCTGTGAACATTCTAGCAAGACTGCTTCCCATGTGCTTAGCATTTCCATCTACCGCATGTTCATATGCATGTCTTCTGACACCTCCAGGTGGTAGTTTGGAATCTTTCTCTTTGATCAGGCAGGAAGTAGAGGCTTTGGGTCAGGAGGGTAGTGTGGCTAGTATTCAAATCTCCCTCTGGGTGAATGGTCAAGCATGTGTCCTTGTAGGATCCATGGCTTTACTCCAAGAGACAGGTTGGCCTGCTGGCTTCTGGGTATCGGGTATTGCTCAGAACCTGGGCTGATGTGGGTACCTGTCCCACTGTTGAGGTACTGATTTCACTTCCTATAGAAACAGGTGACTCCTAGTCATGCAGATGGACCCCAAAGACCGGGAACCAGCGCTAATGAGTACTAGGGTACAGCAAAGTGTGCCTGAGCAGGAGACTTTGGCCCCACAGCCAGAAGACTCATCTCTGTCTGCTTCTGCCACCTGGAGTATACAACTCTGGCTAGTCAGCCTCTTGGAGCCTCAGAGGCTGCATCTGTGAAGTGGCCCCTTAAGCCCACGAGTGGGGTTACCGTGGCTCCCAACATCGGCACACACACAGCTGAGAGTGCTTTGCAGGCTGAGAGCTATATTCATGGCTCTGGGAAGCCTGGCAAGACGGAGGGACATGTGCCTTGGGACAGACAGGAGCGGGGTTAGGCTAGCTCTGATGCTGCTTGGCTGTGCTTCTCTGAGCCTCAGTCCCCTTTCCATCGAATTGGATACTCACAGCCATTAAGCATCTCCTAGGACCCTTGTGGGGTCTACGTAAGACGTTTCTAAGGAGCTTTCAGCCCGTCTTCTTTGTCCTTTAGATGCCCCTCACTAGGTGGAGAGGCAGCTAAGAAGCCAAGCTCCCAGTGACCTTGGCAGTGAAGCCGAAAGTTCTAGAATCACACAGAGACTGATAAGGGAGCCTGTGACCCTCTTTTAACTTGTCACCTTGGTTCACTCATTGTAGTGATGGGAATGGTGCGTGGATCAAGCAAACTCCTATGAAGCATGAGCTGGCCACAATCAGCACATGGCTATGCATTGTGCTCATTATAATGGCCAGCTGGCCACCTGTGCCTATGTAAAATGCCAGTCCAGGGCTGCCCCTGTGCCCACCCACCTGAGAGGCTGGCAGGTGGGATGGAATAGTCTGCCTGGTATGCGACAGCACGTCTTTGTCATGCTTTGCCCAGCATAAGCCCCAGGCTTTTAACAGACTGTCACTTTCTTGCTCCTAACAGAGAGAGCATTTCTGCTGCGTCTGGGCTAACAACAGGCTGGCAGGCGAGTGTCACTGTGATTATTCTGCAGGGAGGCGACGGATGTCCTTGGCGGACACAGAGCCGGGCCTTACCCAGCCAGATCAGGTTGACGAGGTTTTCCAGGCCCTCGATTCTCTCGATGATGTTGTTGTTCAGCTGCAGCTTCTGCAGGTTCTCAAACTGCCAGAGGTTATCGATGCGGAGGATGTCTGAAACGACCAGAGTGCCCGGATGTGACGAGGGCTGGGGCTTTGGGCCAGTGCCCTGACAGACTGAGATGTACTCATATGGGGCTCCACACCTCTCTGCCTTCGCTAGAGTTCCCCTGGAGAGAAGCATGTGAGCATAGGACCAGCACTGTTACCCAGGGCCACTGGGAAGGGTAAAGAGGTCTAATGTGATGGGGGGTGCTAGGCAGGTATCTGTGTGGAGGTGAGCTGGGTCTGCTCAGGGCAGGAGACTCATTCACATTGCCCCAGGGACTGGGCTGGACTCCCAAGAAAACAGGTCTACCTTGGAACACAGGTTACAAGCAGGGGCCGGCATGGTGGGAGGGTCACTCAACTGGTTTTACTTTTGGAAGGTCATTTTGTCACATTTATTGCAATATTTAGCGTCTGTGCCATTTGACCTATAATTTCCTTCCTTCCTTTCTTCCTCCTCTCCTTTTTTCTCCTCTTCCTTCCTTCCTTCTTTTTTTTTTTTCTTGAGTCAGGGTCTCACTATGTAATCCTAACTGTCCTGGAGCTTACTATGTAGACTAGGCTGGCTTCAACCTTCACAGAGATCCACCTGCCTCCACCTCCCAAGTGCTTGGATTAAAGGCATGTGTCACCATGCTAGCCAGACCTGCAAATTAAAAAAAAAAATCTGTCTTCAAACACATTGCAGAAATATCTCTAGGTATGTGAGGACAGAAGACAGCAGCTGCTGGGATGATCACCCACACACCAGGAGGCAGGGCCCAGACAGCTTGGCAGCAAAGAGACCCTGCGGTCATGAGGACCCGCCCTGGCTGTACAGCCATTTTTTCCCTGGGCATGTCCTATGGCCAGAGTTTGGTTTCTGTCACTGGAAACAAGAAGCATTCTGAATAGTATAAATAAATTATATAAATACATACTTAAGTATAAATAAATCCATAGTGACTATGTATAACTTAGAGGTCAGCAGAACAAATTCAGTGCCTCTCAGCCTTCCCCATAAGCCACACATAGCCCTGCTGTTGTGTGCAAATATAGTTTAAAGAACTATATTTGCTTTTATACTTATTCCAAAAATGAAGAAAATCCTTCCTTTATTTCTATTTTATAAGAGTTTTGCCTGCATGTATGTATGTATACCTTGTGTGTGCTGTATGCAGTGACCTGTAGAGGTCAGAAGAGGGTGTCAGACCCCCTGGAACTGGAGTTACAGACAATTGTGAGCCACCATGTGAGTGCTAGTAATTGAATCCGGGTCCTCTAGAAAAACAGCCAGAGCTCTTGACTGCTGAGCAATTGTCCTAGCCCTCTGTATTAGTCACAGAGAGGAACAGAACTTTACACACACACACACGCACACCTCTAAACATATGTGCATACATGTGCACCCACACACATGCACTTACACACACACAAAATTTAAATATCCAAATGTCTACTCAGGGTACTTTATGTATATAGTCTAGAGATAGAACACTGGCTCTTATATATATATATATAATCACTCAGAAGCTCAGAAGGCAGAGGCAGGTGGGGCTCTGTGAGTTCAAGGCCTGGTCTTCACAACCAGTTCCAGCCAGGGCTACAAGTGAGACCCTGTCTCAAAATAAAAAAATTAAAAAAAGGAAAGAAAGAAAAAGAACAACAAAAACAACAACAAAACAAGGATGAATCAGGCAGAGTGCTTGCTGTGGGATCTGGTGACCTGAGTTCAGTCTCAGAAGCCACTGTGGAAAGAGAAGGTCTAAGAATCCAGTAGCTGTTCAGAGTCCACAGGGCTGGATGTCTTAGCTGGTCTTCAGTACATGCCGGAATCCTGAAGTAGGCTCTAATGCCAGTTAAGGAATGGACTTGCCAGCGAGAGCAAGTAGGCAGAGAGAGAGAGAGCTTCCTTCTTCCTTGTCCTTTATAAAGGCTGCCAGCAGAAGGTGTGGCTAGATTAAAGGTGGATCTTCCCACCTCAAAGATCCAGATTAGAAGTGGATCTCCTGCTGGGCAGTGGTGGTGCATGCTTTTTATCTCAGCACTCAGGAGGCAGAGGTAGGCAGATCTCTGTGAGTTCAAGGCCAGCCTGGTCTATAGAGTGAGTTCCACGACAGCCATTGCTACACTGAGAAACTCTATCTCGAAAAATAAAAAAAACAAAAACAAACAGAAAAGGTTGATCTTCCCACTTCAAATGATCTGAAAAAAAAAAAAAAATCTCTCACAGGTGTGCCCAGCCATTTGAGTTTTAGCTAATTCCAGAGGCTGTCGAGTTGGCAACCAATAATAGCCATCACACCCCCTTATTCCAAAACTTTAATCTTAGACTATACTCATTTAAAGAAATCAAATACTATAGATGTGAAAGGTTTTTTAGATAACTATGAAGAGCCTGGCACGAGGGTGCACACCTGTCTCAAGAGGCTGAGGCAGGAGAACTGCAAGTCTAGCCAGGATCTGTAGTGAGGTCCAGCTGGGACTAGCGCTACAGGCTTATCATTCTAACTACTCTGGAGACTAAGCCAGGAGGCTAACAAGTTCGATGCCAGCCAGCTCAGGGAAAGCCTGTTTCAAAATGAAAATAAGAGAACTTGGGGCAGGTGTGGTGGGGGAGATGGCTCAGTGGTTGAGAGCACTTGTTTGCTCTTGCAGAGGACCCGGGTTTGGTTCCCGGCCCCGACATGTGGTTTATAGCCATTTGTAACTCCAGTTCTAGGGGATTCAACACCACCCCCTGACCTCTGTAGGCACCAGGCACAAAGGTGGTGCAAGCCTGGAGATATGGCAGCTCAGTGGTAGAACACCTGGGTAGTATGCCCAAAGCCCCAGCTTCAATCCCCAATACAAAACAAAATCTACTGAGAGCTCACATTTATCCAAGAGATGGGGCCTGTTGGTGAGGTGCTGAGATTGGGTGTGTGAGGGTGCTCTGACTCCCTTCACAGGTCTTGGGGACGCACTCATCTATCCATTGCTTTCCCCTTGGGGCTGGAGTGGTACCTTTTATTTCCTCCATGTCCTCAGGGCCAGGTGGCACAAGAATCTGTTGTTTAGGTTTCTGTTTGCTGCCAGATTTCCCGAACTGCTTTTGTCTCTGTCTCTACGTGTTTCTGGAGGTGGTGCTGTTCAGCCCAAGGCTCTTAGCCACTTCCTATTTCTGGTTTGGATCTTCCAGGCACCTACTGTGGCTCTCTGTCTGACAGGCCAAAACCTAGCCCTGACTCACCCTTTGCTATGATGGCTTCCAGCCGGGCCACTTTAGGTAGATGGCTTTGGTACATCTGTACCTGGCTTTCCCTTAGGCAACAACAGGTGATGTGGAAAGGCCAAAATATCCCAACAAACAAGGGTATCTCTGACAGCTCCAAATGACCTTCCCACCCAAAGGCTGGTTTAATCCTTCACACAGCCACCAACTCCACCTCTGTGACCACTACCTTGGCAAGGCCATCATCACTGTTCTCTGGGTCACAGTAGTAGCCATCACTCGATTCCTGTTTTCCCCTGCCCCTGCAGGTAGCCAGCAGGACTCTGTGAGAACTCAAGGCCCACCCTATCCTGTTTCTACTCAGGATACTTGGGAATCACAACTCACGATGAAAGCCAAATACAGTTCGTTGTCGGAGGCAAGCACCGGCTGGCGACACGCTCTCCCTGGCCTGTCCACACCCTGGCTCCCTCAGCAGGCCTTCTCAGGCTGGCTCTGGCTTACCTCTTGACCTTGCACTGGTTGCTCCCTGTATCTCACACACACACCACCCCCACCGTGTAGATCTCCATATGGTTCCCTTCCTCATCTCCCTTAAGTGTTTGTTCGGGTCTAACCTTGGCAAGGCTCTGGCCACTGTAGAAAGCACTGCACCCAACGCCCATGTCCCTTTTCTCCTTCCTTTGCTTTGTCTCCCCGACAGCACACACTGCCTGTAACATTTTAATTTCCTTGTCTCATTGTCTCCCTCACACCAACCCCATAAGGTAAGGGTCTTTGTCTTTTGGACTGTGCTGAGTATCTGAACGCCTGGAACAGCATCTGGCATCTCTTAGGCACTTGCACAGTGCTGGCGGAATGCCCATTAGGTGGGGGAGGTGGGAAGGAAGTGGCTGCTCCTCATCCATTCCTCCTCCCAGGAAAGGTGTAAGAAGCGCTGGGTCACCCCTGGAGGCCACACCCAAGGGGCGGGGCGCTTTGGACTTACAAGGCCAGGTCTGCTTGCTCATGGCTATCTCCAGTGTTTGGCATGGGATCCTGCATCTTTGCTGTTGACCAAATGCCTAGACAGCTGGGGCCTCAGACATCAGGCCACTTTCTGAGACCTTACCTACTCAGAAAACAGAGGGCTCAGGATCCTTGCCCACCTCCTTCCTTCTCCTGCTCCTCTTTTTGGCAATGTTGGGATTAAGTCTCATGCATCATAAGCCCTCTACCACTGATCCATTTTCTCAGTTCATATATACATTCCTTTACTTTTATTTGCTATGCATGGGTGTTTGGCCTGTATATATATATATGTGCGTGTACTACATGTATACAAGGCCTGTGGAGGCCAGAAGAGGGCATTGGGTCCCTGGGACTAGAGTTACAGACCGGTGAGCTGCCATGTGGGTGCTGGGAATTGAACGTGGATCCTCTGGAAGAGCAGCCAGTGCTCTTAACCACTGAGCCAGCCATCCCCTACTCAGTCCTTATATTTTTGAGATAGGGTCTCACTATGTAGCCCAGCCTGGCTTTGAACTGGAGGTCTTACTGCCTCTGCACCCTGAGTACCAACCGAAGCTCTCTCCTCCCTCTTAGTTCTTCTGTCCTGGCTCATTGGGTCACACTCAGTGGCCTTCCAGCATGACCCAGGCACATGTTGTTGAACTTATCTTCCCAGTCAGAACATAGGACAAGGAGCTGCTTCCTGTCTCATAGTTGGGGATGCCGAGACACTAAGTCTCTGCCTGTCCTGAGCTATATCTCCCACTGGGCTGCCCTGTCATTCCCAAGGTGCCTCCCTGCTTCAGGGCTCTCTGTGCTCTCTATGCTCTCCTTTCCTCTTTGGACACCCTACCCCAGAAGCACTCCTGCCAGTGCTGGCTCCACCTTGTTCTCCCTACACTCCTACCCTGGCTCCAGCAATGTGGGGTCTCCTTGGTTCTGTCCACCAAGGATCCCTCCATTCCAAGGACTTCATTCCATATGAAAGATTCCATTCCGAGTCAGTGTAGAGTCAGATGGTGGAAAAAGCATGGTCTCTGGGGCTTACTTAGATTTGGAGCAGGGCAATCTTATCTTTTTTCCCCATTTTTTTCTGTTCTGTTCTTTTTGTTTGTTTATTTGTTTTTGAGACAGGGTTTCTCTGTGTAGCTTTGGCGCCTTTCCTGGCACTCACTCTGTAGCCCAGGCTGGCCTCGAACTCACAGAGATCCGCCTGGTTCTGCCTCCCGAGTACTGGGGTTGAAGGCTTTTTTCTATTCTTATTCAGAATCAGGAGTATTGTGGACAAATTATGGAGCTACTGGATGGAGTTGATGCAGCATGTGCCTCCTCCCATTCCTGTGCCTGGACTCTAACACCCCTCTGCACTGACCCCTGACTGTGAAATTTGGGGGTTTGAAATAGGGCAGAGATAGTCATGGAGGCCCTGCTGCACCCAGGCCACACTCCTGGCACCCAGGATACGTACTTTGGAAGTCCAGCTGCAGGGACAGGACATCTTTGAAGAGGATGCCCTCCTGCTTGGCTAGCTGCCCAGCCTCCTCCTGGGGGCCTTGTTCCCCAACAGCTGCCTTGAGCATGTCATCGTCCATCACTTTCGGATCCATCGAGTCATATGATCGGCTCATCCTTCCTGAGAAATTGCGTTCCTCTTCACAGACTGTTCCTTTGGTTTGAGAACAGAATTGGACTGTGTCTGTCATGGTGTCCTGGTCTGCCAGGAAGCCACAGGCTGCCCACTCCCATCTGGTGCTTCTGTACCTTGGGGCAAATGCATTGCTGGAAGGCTGCCCTAAGCCTTCCCAGCAGTGGCCCTTCTGGGAGTACCTCATCCCCAGGCAGACAGTCATGCATTGAGGAGCCATTGACCCAAGGTGGCCTTTCATGTTCTCCCTTGAGAAATGGGAAACCTTGGCATCTCAGAATGAGAGTGACCACATGAGCTGGGTGCTCATGTAGGGAGGAACTATGTAACTAGCACTCGCCAGGCACATGGGTAGAGAGGTAGAGAGCAAGAATACACACACACACACACACACACACACACACACACAGAGCAAGTGTTAACTTGCTGCTTCCCTAAGTCCAGGCCGTGTACATGTTAGTGTCTCTTTATGTAATTTTGGAATTCTCACATTAATTTCTCTGTTACTTAAGCTAAATTGGGTTGCTAATGGCCCAAAGGGATCTGCTGAGGCACTGTGGTGAAGGCAGGGTCTGTATATTGGGTTAATTGTACTTGATTGCTATGCTTGGCTGGGTAGCATCACAGCCCTGGAGGGCAGCTGCTCAGACCTCATTGTGATCATTTCCAACCCCAGAAAGGCGGGGCCCGCATGCTCCTGGCAGTCCACTGGAATTTGGCCTTCGGAACTCTGGGAGTCCATCCCCCACTCTGCTCCCACTTGCTTCTCACCTCCCTTCTTACTTTGTGCCTTCGGCCACAGGTCTCCCTGAACCTCTGGTCCTCCCCATCTCGATTCCAGGTGGGCTTCCCTCTGCTTTCTACTCCCCAGGGCCAGGGCAACTCCTGAGACTGCTTTACCAGGAACCCTGACAATCTGTCTTCCTTCTCAGATGGCCTCCCTCTTTGCTCTGTTACCATCCATTTGAATGCAGCATATATAAGTATTCACTTTCTGTTCTTCCACTATCCCTGATCAAAGATTCCGATGTCACTAACTCGTGTGTGAGTGCCCTGCCCTTCCACTCACCTACCCCATGTTGTGTAGCCATTTCCTCTGAATTAAAACATTCCTTCCTGAAGGGAGAGTGACTCATAAGGCTCAGGAAGCTCGCCGAGTCACAATACTAGGAGACCACTTAAGAGTTTATGTAAGGCCATGCATGGCGGCACATGCCTTAGGCAGGAGGGTCTCTGCAAGTCTGAGGCCAGCCTTAGTCTACATAGTGAGTTCCAGGACCAGTCAAGGCTATGTAAAAAGACCCTGTTTCAAAAAACAAAACAAAACATCCAAAACAAACAACAACAACAACAGAGTTTATATATAATTTCTGAGGAAGAAAAAACAGTCTTTGATAGAGGGGCTTGTAAGTTAGGCTTAGAGCTCCAGGACACAACCGCCATGATTTGTCACCCATGCTAGGATTGGCTTTTTAGTGACGCAGTTGCCTTTGAGTCACTCATCATCCTGTAAGTAACTGCAGTGAGCTCATTGGCTCACCAAGCTCTACCTGGATGTGACGGTTTCTTTGATCTGGGTATCTCCCATGGTCCCTGCTTTTTCTCCATCTGTGCCCCCCCCACCCATCCTTCAGCCTTGTCTTCCTGCTATCTCCAGCTGACTCCTCCTCCTCAGGGTGACTGACTGATTCAAACTTCCAGGACAATTCTTGTGCTCATCAGCTTCCTATTCTTCCTAAACAATTTTCCTTAAAGTTTCTCATAATTTACCACCAACCTCAAAATTTACTTCTGGGGAATTTTTAATGTGTTTCATTTGTGAGATGTTATCTGAAAAGTATTTAGAGCTTAAAAAAAACAACAACAACAAAAAGGTGTTGTACTTTGGGAAATGACTCAATCTGGTGTCAAAACTTTGACCTCCATTTCATCAAAGCCCATTAACTGTGACAGGTCGAGCTAGCTTTCAGTCAAGTCCAGCAGGTTCTATGCAGTGTAGGATTGGTGTTAATCTATGCTAAACGTTCACACCCAGGGCAGAACTGTGGTTCTGACTGTGTATCTTTTGAAAAATAACTCCACCAGCTCAAACCTTGGTCTTATTCCTGTTGGGCAGATAATTCCTTCCCCCTGCATTCTGTAAGATCTTGTTCAGTCTCCAAATCCATCCTGAATAACTACTACAAGTCATAAACAACTCAGACAGGTCTTCTTTTTCAGACATGAATTAAATAATCATGCCAATACGTACTTACAAACAACGGCAAGTTAGTAGGGATTGGGAACTGTGAAAGCACTCAGTATGGACAGTTGGCCTGGCCAGGGAAGACACAATTTGAAGGACAAAAAGAAAAGAAAGCAGGAAGAGGGAACTGCAAGATGAGGACCCCAAGCAAGAAAGCAGAAGTGATGCAGGGCCAGAACTGCATTTCTATCCTATGGTGGCTGGGAAGCTCCTAGGGTTTATAACACAGAGATGGGTTAGATTTTATTTTTAAAAATCTCATTATTAATAGGTTTCCTGCCCCCCCCAATAAGTTTCTCTGCCACTGCAGTAAACCAGATCAAGCTGAATTGAAAAAGTGTAACAACAGGTTATATTGAGCAAAGCAACCCCTCCTGGGCAGGTTCTCTGGTTCCAGAGATAGAGGCCAGAGAAGTTGAGCACCCAAGCTAGGGCAGGAAAGTTTTATAGACAGTAGGCGAGGGGTGATGATGTTTCCACCACAAGGTAGGTTTGTGCCCAAGTATGGTCAAAAGCTGAGCAGTTCAGCGGGGATTTGAGGGGCTGGCAACTTCAGGGGAGGAAGCTACAGTTGCCACCAAGGATGCAGGAACTGGGGTTTTTGGCATCTTTCCTTTGTTCTGAGACTCTCTGAGTGGGTAGGGTTTGGGTGGAGGGACCAGGGCTTCCAGGACAATACAGAGACAAAAGAAAGAAAGCCAGCAAGGAAGGAAGGGAGGGAGGAAGAAAGGAAGGCATATATGAGGGTCTGGGACATCTCTAGGAACTTAGTTTATATGTAGGACTAATAATCATCCCCAGTTTGAAACAGAATCTAGTTTGGAAGGTTATACTCAAGCTAAGAGATTGATTGGTCCAATAATAGTGTTAGAAAGTGGAGTTGGGGAAAGTTTAATAGAAAAAGAAACTGAAATAAATTGCCCTTCAGAAGAACTTTGCTATGAGAGTTCAAGGATCATGGCCACAACGAGATCTGAGGATCCCTGAAGTGGGAGAGCACTAGAGGAGATGACCTCATGGTCTAGGCAGCCATGAGGAGCCCTGAAGGAAAAGACAGACTTTCCAGTTCCATTAGCTCCCTCAGATCCAGAGAACAAAGGACCTTTCTGACTCATACAGTTTTTTTTGGGGGGGGTAGGGTGGTAGTGGTAGTCTTTTTAGTTCCACATCATGGAACCTGCCCTGACCTAGTCTATATGACCCTCGCATGGTGGAAGGCCTAGACAAGAGAGTAAAGTTGCAATTCAAGTTTTTCTGGGCCCAGATGTTGGGAGATGGGCTTGTGCACAACTGTAAGTGGGGAGAGAGAACTTCCTGAGAGCTACAAGATCACAGTAGCGCTCTATAACCAACCTTGAGAAAGAATACTAAAGGGGTATGGCCTGATTTCTGCGGCTGACAGCAACAGTTATGAATAACTCAGAGAGGTCTTCAGTTTCCAACTTGAATTAGATAACTCAACCCAATATTTACTTACAAACAATGACAAGTTAGTGTATGTGCAGAACTATGAAAACACACAGTAGGGATCTTTGTAACATCAAGGCTTTCCTAGGTTGACCAAAATGCAGATTTCCCAAAAGACTGCTTGTATATAGCAGAACCCATTTTCCTAATCATGACTCTATTGTAACCAGCATACTAGGAACGACCATTATCACAGCTCATGTTTCTAACAGTTTTTCCTAAGACAAGGGCCAAAGAATCCTCCCCTATGGGGATTATCAATAATTTATCGAAATGGGGGCCTGGTTGACTTGCCTGATGATAGTGTCTTTGGTGAAGACCAGAGGTAGGATGTGGAGAAGCAGCAGAAAGCTTTACTTACAAATCAACCAGGTAGGCTCTTCACTGGGAGAAAGTCCAGGTTTTCCTGAGAAACAACAACCTGGGTCAGTGGGACCTGCAACACCATATAGATCCTATTGTCCATAAATTAACGAGAATAAAAGCAACTGCTGACCGATTGTCTTATTCTCGGTGCACACAACTTATTTAATTCCATGTCAGCTCTGGGAGCTATTAAAAAGGGTGCTTTAGGCCGGGGGTGGGGGTGGGTGGGTGGTGGGTGGTGGCACACGCCTTTAATCCCAGCACTCGGGAGACAGAGGCAGGAGGATCTGTGTGAGTTCCAGGACAGCCTGGTGAGTTCCAGGACAGCCAAGGCTACACTGAGAAACCCTGTCTCAAAAAACAAAACAAAACAAAAAGGTGCCTTAGTGCCCTTACTTCCCAGATAGGAAAACTGAGGCTTTGGGGGGGGGGGGGGAGGTCATACAGTGAAATACTGACAGAGACTGATATGGAACCCTAGTATCTGTAATTCTCATCCCAAGCACTTCATACAGCACCAAACGAAGTAACTTATTGATGATCAAGAGAATGGGGTACCCTTCTTTCTATGAAACTGATCAGGCCAGGAAACTGGCAGATAGACCCTCTTCCTACTAGCTTTTGCGAGCTTTAGGATCTATAGGTAATTTTCTTCTCCAAAGGCTTAATAAGTCTCAGTAAAATGACATGTGTGCTCATTTTACAAATGAGCAAGGCCAGGTTGGAGTCCTCACAGAAGAGTTACAAGACAGACTTGAATCACGCAACCTTTGCTCTCAGAGTCGTTTTGGGGCCTAGACTCATGCTGCTTACCTTCCTAAGGACTCTCCTTGAAGTGGACGCGTCGCTTGGTTGCTGGGTAACCAAGCACCGCCACTCTGTTGCTAAGGGGAAGTCAGGCAATAGATATCCTGGGTGAAAGTTGATGTGCCACGTGACCATATTTCTAGGTGGCGAACCAGCCTTGAAGAAAACAAACGTCTCTCCAATCAGCACCGTCAATGCGCGGCAACTTCTAGTTACGCTTTCTTTATTTGGAAGATTGACGCGTCTTTTATCCAATCATAGTAAGGATTCTCTAGACGGACCAAGAGGCTAATGAATCAAAATGAACGGCCACCCGCCTGGAGGCGGGTCCAGGGGGGGTTGTGCCGCTACGGCTGTCGGGGACCCCAGTGACTTAGCTCGCTTCGGGCCCAATCGGACGCTGCGGGGTGGGTGGGACTTCACCGAGAATGGCGTGCCGTCCAATCGGAGGCGGGCTGGACAGACGCTGCCCAATAGAGATGCACCCAGAGGGCGAGGTCAGGCCGGCGCTCGGCGTTCCCGAGGGTGGGGCGGGGGCAAGTGTCAGTCAGGGCAGAGCGCGGCGCGGGCAGCGGAGACCCGCGGCACACAGGCATCCGGGCCGGAACGAGGCCTGCAGAGATGGAGTTCCTGCTGGGGAATCCGTTCAGCACCCCTGTAGGGCAGTGTCTTGGTAAGGCCGCGCGTGGGGCAGGCGTCGAGTGAGCCACAGAACGGCTGGCCGGGCTGGTGAGGTCCAGGGCCTCCCCGCTTCCCCGACACAGAGATCACTTCACGTGCGGGTTGGGCCTCTGCCAATAAGCGGTGTCATCTCAAAGGTGGACCGGGCATCCTTGTCACGGGGCCTCTGCCTGACGCTGGTGCCACCTCACCCTGCCAGGAGGCTTCCCTGAGGTGCAACTTGGACTCTGAGAGGCCGCCTGCATCCCTACCCATCAGGGCCCAGCCTTTCAAGTCTCTCCCTAGAAGTAGTGCCCATGCTGGTCTGCTTACCCTTGCGTATTGGGAGATGTCACTGCGAGCAGTCTTGTCCAGGCATCTCGCTGCATCTGCTCCCAGGGCCTCTTTCTCCCAGAGCCTTTGTGGAACGTCACTTCTTTCTTCCATCCTCGTCCCTACTCATTGGTACCAATGACTCTGAGGCTGGGCACCTTCCCAGAAAATGTCCCATGCTGCACGACTTCTAATTTGAGCTGCAACTCAGCCAGGCTGTAGGAGGGACTGGAATGGGGGAGGCGTTCCGGGAAGGTGACTGTCTTGGCAGGGGGATGATGGCGTGGCTGCAGAGCCTCCTAGGAAAGAAGGGAGGCCAGCCATGCTGCTTGTTAAGCTCTCCACTGGAACCCGGAAACTTGGGCTCCAGTAGTGACTTTGCCAGGGACTCTCCTCTTGACCTCGTTTTCTTGTCTGTCACACGAGGTGTTTGGGGATAAGATGTGGTGGGACTTTCCAAGTTGTCAAGTTTTTAACTTTCCTTGTTGATATTCAGTGTCTCCTTACGCTGACCCTTGTTCTCCCACCATATTAAACTGGCAAGACTGAAGTCTTGCTGGTAGTATAGTACTCAGATCACCCGTCCATACTATAAGGAGCCAGAGATGGGCAGCATGCCACATAAGGAAAAAACACAGGCAAAGAGGCCACTGTGAAGTTTCCTTTACTGGAAAAGCCACTTGCAGACGGGGGCATAGTTCAATGGTAGAGCTAGCTAAGCACACAAAATCCTAGATTTGATCCCCAGCATTGCAAGTAATAAATAATAAACAAGCAATTTGGCTTTTCACTCAAGGCAGGGACTTATGCCACGGGATCAGTCAAAAATGCTGATTAGTGTCTTTCAAAACGATGTTTTGGGGCCGGAGTGCTGGCTCACCGCATGAGCGTTGGCTGTTGATCCAGGTTCAATTCCCAGCACCTGTATAGTGGCTCGCACTGGCTGGAACTTCAGTTCCAGGGGATTTGTTGCCCTCTGCTGGCCTCTTTTATATACATGGCATGTAAATAGTGCACAGACAGACAGACAAAACACACACAAAAAAAATGTTTAAAAATTAAATATTAGCAGGTTGGTTGGAAGCGTCTTGTATGAACAGGGATCTGTACTATCCTTATGGGTCTGACTGGTTCAGGCAATAGAGATTTGCTTTTTTTTTTTTTTTTTTTGCTTTGCATATGAGTTTATAGCCTACTTTTCAGTCTTTAGAGAGGCCCATGAACTTACCGAGGCTCCTTCTGTTGGTTAGCTGGCATTTTAGGGGCATTTTGTTCCTTTTTGGTACAGTGTCTTTTATAAATAATCATGGATACTGGGACCTGAAAGTCTTTCCCACTTCTATAACACTTGGTTCTCTGATGCTCACTCGAGTATATCTCTTTCTCTATTTTTTTTTCAATTTTATGTGTTTGTTTTGCCTTCATTATGTCTATTCACCATGTGTGTGCCTTGTGCCCGCAGAGGCCAGAAGAGGGTGTAGGATCTCTTGGAACTGGAGTTACAGACAGTTGTGAGCTTCCGTGGGAGTGCTGGCAATAAAACCTGGGTCCCCTGGAAGAGCATCACCTGCTCTTAACCACTGAGTCCTCTCTCCAGACTCCCCTCTCTTTTCAAAAAGATTTTCTTTTATTTATGGATGTGTGTGTGCATGTGTCTGTGTGAGTGTATACATACCTGTGTGTGTATGTGGATGCCTGTGGAGGAAGGCATTGGATCCCTTAGAGCAAAGTTACAGGCATTTGTGATCTGGCTGATGAGGGTGCTGGGATCCTGTTTTTGCCCCTGTCTTCAAGTGTTCTTTCACTTCAGTCCAAACTCACTTCTCAATCCAGTTGGTGTTGAGTTCAAGCCAGTGAACTCGAGGGTTTTGTAGGGTTAGGGGAGGGAAGCTGGTAGGTACAAAGGGCAGCATGTCAAAAGGATAAGTAAGGGATAGAGGGGTAGTTGAATAGCTATAAATAAGTAAATGTGTTAGATGTGACCTGAGTTGAATGACCTTGGCTGTAGAACGTCAGAAGATTTTGTAAGCCTTCTGAGCCGGAGAGTGACTGTCTGCTGAGTGAAAAGGAGGGAAAGGTGGGGAGAGACTTGTGTTTAGAGTGCTGTAGTTTGAAGAGGATGATGTCTACCAGCAATTGATATCTTATCTGGAACATTGTAGAGACTCAGTGAATTGGGCCATCTTTCTGTTCACAACAGAATAATTAAGTCAGGGTTGTGTTTTCTGTCAGAGGAGGCCATGTGATGTGACTGGTTTATGACCTGTGAAGGAAAATACCCTCCCAGGCCTTAGGTCCGCTATTGCTTGTGAAAGACACTTGAGGGGCTGGGTTGATGGTTCTTACTGACAGTAGTGTTGATCTTGCAGAAGACACACATTCAGTTCCAGTGTCCACATGGCAGTTCATGACCGTCTCTAACTGGAGTTCTGGGGGAACTGACACACTTTTTTGGCCTCTGTGGCAGGCACATGGCACATATACATACATACAGGCAAACATACACATACACACAATAAATAAATAGATCTTTAGAAAAATAAATTTGATCATGAAGATGATGAAGGGTCCCTGTTGCTAGGCAGCCAATAGTCAGTAGCTAGGCCTTAGTCATTTTGCTTGGAAAAGTGATGAATTGACAGATTGAAATTTTAATGGATATTCTGTACTATTGTGGCAAAGAGTAAACATGATTTGGGGTACTGTGATTTTTTTTTTAAAGTATGTACATATGCTGGGAATGGTGGTACATGCTAGTAATCCCAGGAAGAGGTGGAGCCAGGAGGATCAGGAGTTCAAGGCCAGCTTCAGCTACATAGAGAGTTTGAGGCTGTTGTGGGCTACATGAGACCCTATCTCAAGATACCATCAGCAGCAACAAAAAGTATGTTCTAGGGATGAGGAGATGAGGAGACGATATGCAAAAATAGCAACCACAAGGCTAACCCTTTAAGATGGGAGAGATGGCTCAGCAGTTAAGAGCACTAACTGCTCTTCCAGAGGACCCAGGTTTGATTCCCAACACCCACATGGCAGCTCACAACTCTGTAACTCCACTCTCAAGAATTCTGAGACTCTTTTAGCACTGTGGACACCAAGACATGTGTAGGCAAAACACCCATACACATACAATTAATAAATAGATAAATCTCTCAAAAAATATAATAGCAGCTGTGGGCCTGGAGAGATGGCTCAGAGGTTAAGGGCATCTATTGTTCTTTCAGAGGACCCAGGATGGGATGCCAGTACCCACATGGTGACTCACAATTGCCTGTAACTTTAATTCCAGGGGAACCAACACTCAGTTCTGATCTCTGTGGGCTCCTGCATGCTTGTGGTACACATACATGCACTCAGGCACACACATGCACATAAAATAAAAACAAACGTTTAACACAGTAGCTAATAGTGATACTACAAGGACCATTTTTTGCTTCCAGCTGTTTTGTCCTAAGTTGTCCTTCCCATTTTAGAGATGTGGAAACTGAGGCTCAGAGGAGTGAAGTGACTGCTTAGCTGGTCGGTGAGAGAGCCAGGATCTCTGGTTCTGGGGTTTTAGGACTTTGGGAGCTGCCTGAACTGCTGATGAGCTGTAGGAGTTTAGAGGATGTCAGAAGATGATAGAGGACAGGAATGGGTGTGTCCTCTGAGTCTGAGGGACTCTTCAGGGCAAGAGAAAGGTTGGTGAGACTTGGGGACAACTGAATGAGCAGGGAAAGGGGAGAGGACATGGGTTTATCTGACCACCAGACTCAGTGGGGAGAGGTGGCCGTGGGGAATGTGGTAGGTAGGGTTGAGTGACAAGTTGAGGCTCTACTGTGGTTGGGCAATGTCAAAGATGACTTTTTTTTTCTGTGCTAGGATTTGAAGCCAGTGCTAAGTGTGACTTTAATTGACTTCAACTTTTAGTTTCTAGACTTCATTTTCCCACCCATAAAGTCCTCATTAGCTGCACATGCCTCATGCCTAAGTATCTTAGTCATTTCTGAGTACCTGTAAGATCCCAGGCCTTGGGAATACAAGTGTTTGTGGGGTTATGCTTAGACCCAGGGCCTTATGAATGCTAGGCAGGTGGGTATGCAGATACTCAAAAGCTACTATCCAGGAGCCCACGAAGAGAAAACATCCTCACTAGACATGTCCTGGGCTGGAGTAGCTGGTGGAGAAACTTTTGTAGACTTCTGATGTGGTGCTATTTGGTTCAATACTTAGGCTGCCTGTGTGGTGCTGGCAGCCAAGAACATAGTCTGACATAACTATTTGTGCATTTCATGTATGGATCCCGTCCTTTGTTTTGGAAGTTGCTCATTAGTAGAATGTGTAGTTTGGAGCTGAGAAGTATGGGAAAAAATTAAACAAATTCAAAATATGACTGTGCGATTTCAACTTACTACTCAGAGTTGGATGAAGTTGAATGCCATATATCAGGAATTCCCCAAGTCATCCATGGTGTCCTGCAGATGCCTGCCATTTTCCTTGTATTGGTTAGAAATGTTTTCAGGTATTCAATTCAAAGATTATCTCTTTTCTTTGAAGTACTTCAGCAACAGACAGGAGGCAGATAATCAGTCACAGCATTTGTATTTGGAGACTGGGTGGTGTTGGACATGAAGTACTTCCCAGTGTCCTATGAATGGGAGATGATGAACTCTAGCCTGGCTATTTATACCAAGAATAATCAGTTGTCCTGCTGAGTGTTGTAACAGTTGGCAATTGTGCAAAGCCTCTGGCTTTATCATTTTCTTTAGTCTTTGCAACTCAGTAAGAGACACAGGAGGAGACTGAAAGGAACTTACACTGTCTCACTAAGCACCAACAATATGCAGACTCTGCACAGAATATCATTGAATCCCCAGAACACTGAATTATTTGAATCTTATCATTTCTATTTCACTTAAAGAAACCCAGACTCTGGGAAAATAAGAGACGTGCAGGCCAGTGGCAGAGTGAAGCGTGGAATTCTGTTCTGGCCAGTGCTCACTGGGCACTTCTTGGACTCAGAATGCATAATTCATCAGCATCAGAACCCGGAAGGCCTGCTAAGCTGGGATGCTGTGCCTCACTCAGAGTTTCTGAGGCAGGGTCTAGAACTTTGTATTTCTAACCAGCTCCCTAGCCATGCTGCTGCTCTTGCTGGTACACTTTGAGAACCATTGCTAGAGACGGAATATTTGGCTTCTTTTCATCTTTTCTTTATCTTTCTTCAA